CGTGGGGGTGGCCCCGCTGCTCCTCCCGGGGGCGCTGCAGCCGCGGGCCGCCAGCAGCGCTGGCCGAGCTGATGCAATGGCCCCGTCCTCCCTCAAAGGCCGCCCGACCTTTTCCCTGGCGGGAACGGCACGCTCACCCCCGAGGGGGCGACGACGATTGAGAAGTCGCGCTTCTGAGCGTTGGCGTTGGCGCTGGCGCTGGCGTTGGCGTTGGCGTGGGTGTCGTCGTTGGTGTTGGCGTCTGCGCCGTCGGCGCACTTGTAGGTGGTGTAGTCGGCGTAGGCGCCAACGGTTTACACCTCGTAGGCCTGGTTCCACAAGATTTTGCCGTTCATTGTCTTCTGCGTCGGTCGCCGCTTTCTCTTTGGAGTAACGGACCGTTGCTGATCTTCCTTCATCCTGGATGGCGTCGATGGGACCGAGCAGCGAGAAGATGGCCTGAACCCCAGAGAAGTCTAACTCGCGAGCGCAGGAGATGCAGATCGCGTTCTGGGCTTGGGCGCTACCCGCGCAGGAGTCGAGGTTGGCGCTGGCGCCGACCCCCTGGTAGTACTCGAGGAAGCTGGTCTTCTCTCAGTCGACCTCTTGGCCCTGGGAGTCACAATGCTGGACGTCCTCGTCGGGCTCGGGGGCGGCGTCGCCCTCCGTGGCGAAACGGACCATCTTCCCGGTGAACTTGGCAGTGGCAGCTGGAGGCCGTGGTTTAGTATGTCGCGGCGAGTCCGGCCGTGGCGACGGGGGCGGGGTCCTCGGTGACATGGCCCGAAGGGCTAGGTGAGGGGGGCCACCGAGGGGCCCCGAGCGGGGATACCCATCTTATCGAATTCTTGTGGGCTCCTGCCCGGGTCAACTCCAGAGTGGAGCGCCAAAGGGGGCGAAGAGGCGGGCGGCCCCTCGGGGGCAGCAGAGAGCGAGGCGTCGCTCCTGCCAGCAACCAGCCCCCCTCCTCATCCGGCTGGAGGAGGAGCGGCCGCGGCGGTGAGGCAGGGAGTCGGACCCTCATCCTCGTGTACCTCGAGCCTCCGGAGGTCATCGGTCTCCTCGGTCTCGTCGAAGTCGTCGACGTCGCTGGTGACGAAGCTGGCGGCGAGGAAAAGGGGCTCGGCATGGTTGGTGTTGGCCTGGTTGGCGTTGTCGCTGGCGATTCCGCGGAAGCCGATGTTCTCGCGCGGCGCCGCCAAGGTGGAGGAGGACGAGGGAGGTGACGCACCCTCTTTTCTGGTGCCTCAAACCTCCCGCCAGCGGCAGGCTGGCGCATGAGGCCGAAGTCCTTCGCGGTCTCGTTGTAGCTGTACTTATAGTTGCAGTAGTTAAAGTTGTAGTAGGGGCTGAGGGTCGGCAGCTCGGAATGCTGCTCGTGGTAGCAGTTGTACGTGAAGGCGTTCTGGAATGTCTCAGAGCATCGTCGCTGGCAGTCGGAGGCGTAGGCGTTGGAAAGAATGCATCCCGAGCTGTGACCTGGCGCCGCACATCATCATCATCATCATCATCATCATCATCATCATCATCATCATCATCATCATCATCATCATCATCATCATCATCATCATCATCATCATCATCATCATCAGCAGCAGCAGCAGCAGCAGCAGCATCAGCATCAGCATCATCATCATCATCATCATCAGCATCATCATCATTATCATCACCATCACCATCATCACCATCATCATCATCACCACCATCATCATCATCATGATCAGAATCATCATCATCATCATCATCATCATGATCATAATCAGCATCATCAGCATCATCATCAGCAGCATCATGATCATCACCATGATCATAATCATCATCAACATCATCATCAGCAGCATAATCAGCGGCATCATCATCATCATCATCATCATCATCATCATCATCAGCATCAGCATCATAATCATCAGCAAAATCAGCATCATCAGCAGCAGCAGCATCGTCCTCATCACCCTTATCATCATCATTATCATCATCGGCATTATTATCATAATCCTCATCATCAGCAGCATCATCATCTTCAGCATCAGCAGCATCATCATCATCGACAGCAGCATCATCATCATCAGCATCATCATCCTCACCCTAATCATCAGCAGCATCACCCTCATCATCCTCGTCATCATGATCAATTTCATCATCAGCAGCATCATCATCAGCATCATCATCAGCAGCATCATCATCCGCCTCATCATCCTCATCCTCATCCTTCTCCTCCTCCTCCTCTTCATCATCGTCAGCATCATGCTCATCGTTATTATCCTCTTCCTCTTTTCTCCTCTGCCATCTCCTTCTCCTCCCCATCATCGTCCTCAGGTCTTTCTTTACCTCCACCCATTTCTCCGCGGGCTGTTTTTTCCACAGCTGTTCAATAAAGGGTTGTGTATATCTCTTCTCAGAAACCTGTCGATGCGTTGCCAGATCCAGTATCGGGCCAGCGACCTTACTTCCCGTTGCCTCCCGCTGCCTCCCGTGGCTTCCCGTTGCCTCCCGTGGCTTCCCGTGGCCTCCCGTGGCCTCCCTTCGCCTCCCGTGGCCTCCTATTGCCTCCCGTTGCTTCTGGTGGCCTCCCATTGCCGTCCCTATCTTTATCCCTCTATCATCCTCTACCCCTATATGCTACAATTGTCTTGTCGGAGGTTGGGGGGTGAGTCCGACGTGAAACGGAGACCCCCCCTAACGGGAAATCAATTTCGGTTTCGGGTTCGTGTCGTGCGTGCTGTGCGTGCGGGCGAGGCGAAGCTGCGTGGGCGGGCGAGAGGAAATCCTCCTGTGGCTGGGCCGCGGCCAGACCAAATGTAACTCCTCCGGCGGCCCGTGCCGCGCGGTATCCCGCCGGTGTCCAGCTGGTGTCCCGAAATCCTCCTGTGGCTGGGCCGCGGCAGGACCAACTGTTTCTTTTCCGGCGGCCGGTGCCGCGCGGTGTCCCGCCGGTGTCCCGTGGTGTCCCGTTGAGTGAGATCGATAGTGAGATCGATATTGAGATCGATACTGAGATCCATGTGGTGCCCGAGGTGTCCCGTGGTGTCCCGTTGAGTGAGATCGATAGTGAGATCGATATTGAGATCGACAGGTGTTCCGTGGTGTCCCGTTGAGTGAGATCGATAGTGAGATCGATTGTGAGATCGATGTGGTGTCCCGAGGTGTCCCGTGGTGTCCCGTAGTGTCCTATGGTGTCCCGTTGAGTGAGATCGATAGTGAGACCAGTAGTGAGACCGATAGTGAGATCGAGAGGTGTTCCGCGGTATCCCGTGGTGTCCCGTTTTGGCCCGTGGTGTCCCGTGATGTCCCGTTGAGTGAGATCGATAGTGAGATCGACAAGTGTCCCGTGATGTCCCGTGGTATCCTGTGGTGTCCTGTGGTGTTCCGTTGAGTGAGATCGATAGTGAGATCGATTGAGTCAGATGTCGGTTCCCCCCTCTCTCCCCCCCCACAACCTCCTTATCACCCGAATGGTGATCGCATTGGTATTATTATCCCTATCCGTATGTCCCCCTTCTATATTCATATCCCTATCCCGATCCCCCCCATCGTCGCCCCCCATCGTGCCTCCCCATCGTGACCCCCCATCGTGGGACCCCCCCATCGTAACTTTGTAAAGCTGCTTAGGGTCTTCTGCCGCAAGGGTGTCGTTTCTGGCATTGGAGTCTCAGGGTGGCACCTAGGGGGTCCAAATCGGGAGAAAATTGACCGCCGTGTTTTGTTCGCAACGCCTGCAAGTCTGGGGACGTCTTGCTAATGTATTAGAGGCCCACTCTTTACTTGTCGGGTCGCACTTGTGCCCCGCTTGAGGAAGTCATGAATGCCGACCTCACGGCAGCTGCATCCAGTTCGTGCCCCACCTGTGGCAGACATGTCATATTCACGGCGTCCCACAGCTACGCGGTGACTGCGAGAGCCATGAGCGGCCCTCGAAGAGGAGGATTCCAAAGGTCCGCTGAGGTCTCCAGAGGTGCCCCCAGAGATCCCCAGAGGTCCCTGGAGATCTCTGGAGGCCCCCGGAGGCCTCCAAGGGCCTCAGAGGCCCAAGCAGCAGGGGCTAAGAGCGTCCAAAGGCATCGGCCCTCGATCCTCTCGACAGAGGTCATACGACCTCCACCGCCGGCACCCTCTGCGCGGCGACGGCCGCCGTGGCGACGCCGCGACTTGCCGCCCAGGCCCCCGCCGGGGGCGAAGGCCGACGGCCCCAGACCCCCGACGGCATGATTTGATTCTCGACGTGGAGCCCGAGAGCTCTGGACCCCTTCCCGGGGACCCGCCCTGCATCCTGAGTCGCTACGTGACGGCCCTGATGAAGACGATGACGATGACGATGACAACGATGACGACGACGATGACGATGACGATGACAATGACGACGATGACGATGACAATGACGATGACGACGATGACGATGACGACGATGGCGACGACGATGACGATGACGACGATGACAAGATGACAATTTCGCCAGAAGCCGAACTTTGCCAAAAACCTCCAGCCGTGTGCTTTCGCAGCGCGAGGCGCTCTGGGAAGGCCGCCCGTGGCCGCAGCCGCTCTGGCCCGAGGGGGCGCGGGTGACGGACGACGACGACGACGACGACGACGACGACGACGACGACGACGACGACGACGACGACGACGACGACGTCCGACCCACCGACCGACCGACCGACCGACCGACCGACCACAGCCGCAGCCGCAGCCGCAGCCGCAGCCGCAGCCGCTCCGGCCCGAGGGGGTGCGGGAGACGGGCGGCCGCGAGACGCCGTGGGGCATGGCCCGCCGCCGCCCCCCGCGGAGGGCGACGCGCCCGCCCCTCGCTGGCGCAGCCGCCAGCTGCTGCCGCGCGGCCGCCGCTCGCAGGCGCGCCCGCGCGCCCGCGGCCCCGCGCCGCGTGAGGCGCCGGCCGAGGGCGCCTCGGCGACGCCGCGCCGCGGCGCCGCGCCGCGGCGGCGGCCACCGCCGGGCAGCGGGGGCCCTCTGGCCGCGACGCCGCCGGGCGCAGCAGGGGCAGCCGCCGCGGGCCGCCGGGCGGAGGCATGGCCGAGGCCGCCTGCCACAGTCGCCGTCGGTCGTCGCCGCCGTCGTGGTCGGCGGCGGCGTCGTCGTCGTCGTTGTCGTCGTCGTCGTAGTCGTCGTCGTCGTCATCGTTGTCGTCGTCTTGGTCGTCGTCGTCATCGTCGTCGTCATCGTCGTCGTCTCCGTCGTTTGTCGTCCGTCGTCCTCGTCCTCGTCCTAGTGCTCGTCCTCGTCCTTCGTCCTCGTCGTCGTTCGTTGTTCGTCGTCGTCGTCGTCGTCGAAGTCGTCGTCGTCATCGTCGTCGTCGTCTCCGTCGTCGTTCGTCGTCGTCTGCGGAGCATCGGCGCGGCCGGCCGCCTTCGCGGTCGTGGCAGGAGAACCACGCCCAGATTTCTGGAGGCCTCTGAAGGCCCCCTGAAAGCTCGTGACCCCAGCCCAAGGACCAGCTTGGTTTAGCCGCGGGTGCATCTCGAGGGACCGCCCCTGGGAGGCCGAGATCGTGGAAAAGATGCCCACGTCGCGCTTAGCCAATGAGGCGTGACCTGACCCCTGCAGGTCAGATGTTTGTCACAACACGTGAAACACAATAGACAGCACAAAACACAAGCGAAACAAACACACAAATTGCGGGGGGGCTTAAAATCTGGACGTCTGCGGCCGAGTGAACCCACTTGAGGGTGCGGGGGCATACCCGGCGTCGATTGGATCCGCGGGGGTAGAGCTCGCAGACTGTTGCGGGTTGCTTCGCGACGCCAGGAGGGCCGGGCATGTTGGGACGGGGACCTGGGGACGGAAGGGCGGGGAAGCAGAGGGGGGACGGGTTCCACCCTCTGCCGTCACGCCCCCTCCAGGCCCCGACCGGCTCCCCCCGCCTGTGGTCATCTTCTGCTTCGGCGTCCTCCTCTCTGTTGCTTACCCGCTGCTGCCTTCCCCCCTCTTCTGTGGCTCGGCCCGACGTCGGTAGGCGACGTCCCTCCCCCTCCTCCTCCCCCTCCACAATTCAACAATATGAATACTACTCTCCTTTCTCCCCTGGTGGCGTCCAGGGATAGTTCGGCCCCCCTTCCGCGCATTGTTTTTTTACACACGGGATTCCCGGGAGTTGGGTTTTCATTTAGGTTTTTTTCAAAATGCTGCTCTCGCTGAAGCGCTGGCCTCATTTTCGGGCTACCGCTCGTTCCGAATCGTGCTCCCGCTGCAACGCTGGCCTCATTTCCGCACTTCCGCTCGTTCCGAATCGTTTTCCAGCGCCATGCCACGGCATGTCGTTCGGTCCTTCCAAGTAAACCAAAAAATCGAAAATGGCCCCCCGAAAAATCCATCAGAAGTGATTACACATTCGGTGTCGATTTGTTGATCTTTGGGACCGCAGAAGCCCCCCACTTTGGGGCGTCGCCACGCCATGCTATGTCAGGCTACGTGTCCTCATTTCCGCGCTTCCGCGCTTGGGATATTTGTTTCCCAAAATGCTACTCTCGCTGGAGCGCTGGCCTCATTTTCGGGCTACCGCTGGTTCCGAGTCGTGCTCCCGCTGCAGCGCTGGCCTCATTTCCGCGCTTCGTTCGTTCCGAATCGTGCTTCCACTGCAGCGCTGGCGTTCTTGTTCCTAGCGCCATACCACGCCATGGTTCTCGGTCTTTCCAAATAGGCTCCAAAATGTAGAAAATGGCCTCCAAAAAAAACATCGGAAGTGATTACACACTCGGTGCCGATTCGTCGATTGTTTGGGCCGCAGAAGCCCCCCCACTTTGGGGCGTCGCCAGGCCATGCTATGTCAGGCTACGCTTCCTCATTTCCGCGCTTCCGCGCTTGGGATGTTGTTTCAAAATGTTGCTCTCGATGAAGCGTCGGCCTTATTTTAGGGCTATCGCTCGTTCCGAATCGTGCTCCCGCTGCAGCGCTGGCCTCATTTCCACGCGTCCGCTCGTTCCGAATTGTGCTCCCGCTGCAGCGCTGGCGTCATTATTTCCAATGCCCTGCCACGCCATGGTTTTCGGTCCTTCCAAATTGGCCCCAAAATCGGAAAAAATGCCTTCCGAAGAAACCATCGGAAGTGATTACACATTCGGTGTCGATTCGCTGATTTTTGGGCCGCGGAAGCCCCCCCCCACTTTGGGGCGTCGCCACGCCATGCTATGTCGTGCTACGCGTTAATCATCAACAGCATGCTATGCCATGTAATTCTATGCCATGCTACGACATCCGATTGTGCGAATAGAGAGGAGATCTACGCCATGGTAAGGGATGGGCGGGTGGGGTAGGACCTCAGATATGACGCGAGCGCACCTAGCTTGTCCCCCTCCCCTCCCCCTCCTCCTTCCCCTCCTCCTCTTCCTCCTCATCCTCCCCCATGCCCCTCCTCCTCCTCGTCCTCGTCCTCCTCCTCCTCCGTAGCCATTTTGGCTCAATCCGCCCTGTCTGTTTGCCCCAGCATCTTGGCTCCAGTTCGCTGAGCTCATGGTGGCTGGAAGTCATTCGTTGTTCTTCTTATATCGGTGCTATTTCTGTTTCGCTGGTCGGCTACGTTTCCAGCTCTGGTGCCATCATTTGGGGCTGCTAGTCTTTCGGGCATGCTGGGTCGTGCCTAAAACTGTTTGGCTGCTCGTGTTCGCTTGCTTGAGACTGGCACTTATCTCGAATTGAACTCGGACATACACAATGTTGCCGTGCGACGTCACGCATTCCATTGTGAAGTGTTCCAGCGCAACGTTCACTTTGCCACCAAAGCTGTGTGTCTCTCTCGCCTTGCGGTGGGATCGTCGGCTTTTTCGTCATGCTGGCAAGGAACGCCACGAAGTCTATCGCGAAGTTTCTCCTCCGAGAATTTCGGCGAAACGCTGGTCAGCGCCTACACCTGCATTCGACCCGCGGTCGAATAAACCCTGCTTCAGGCTGCCTGCGAACGTCGGCGCCTGCGCCAGCTCCAACGGCTGCGCCTACATCAGTACCGACGTCAGCACCGACGCCAGCTCGAACGCCGGCACATACGCTAGGGCCGACGCCAGCACCCGACGCCAGCACTGCACCAACGCCTGCGCCTACGCCAGCATCACCGCCAGCGCCTGCGCCGAGACCAGCGCTAGCGCCTACACCAGCACCGACGCCAGTACAGACGCACGCACGAACGGCAGCGCCTGCACCGTCTCCAGCTCCAGCGCCTACACCAGCACTGGCGCCAGCATCGACGCCAGCACCAAAGACGACGCCATCATTAACGCCTGCGCCCACGCCGGCACCAACGCCAGCACCTACACGGCCGACGTCAGCGACGACGCCAGCACAAACGACGGCGTCTCCACCGGTACCAAAGCCCAGCACCTCCACCAGCACCGACACCAGCACCGACGCCAGCACCAATGCCTGGGCCTCCGCCGGAACCGACGCCAGCTCCGACGTCCGCATCAATGCGTGCGCTTGCGCCGGCATCAACGCCTACGCCCACGCTGACATCAGCACCGACGCCAGCGACTACGCCTACGGCGGGTCTCATGAGCACCACGCCGGATAACGACCGCGGCACGACAGGTACCACGAGCAGCACGGCGGAGCACGCAACCAGTACGACGAGTACTCCTAGGCAGCACGCCGAAACTCATGAGCAAGACAACGCTTTCAATGAGCAGCACATCGGATACCACGAGCATGGCACGACGAGCATCACGCGCAGCACAACGACTACCACGAGCAGCACATCGAGCACAAGGAGCTGCACGGCGGACACCACTGGCAACACGACGGATATCACGTGCAGCGCGCTCACTTCGACATCTCCGAGTCGATCCCTGAAGCCTCGTGATTCTGTCCCTCGGCTGCACCTTCTGAGGCCAGCCGCAGATAGTAGTCTGGGCCCTTCCTTCCCCCTCCCCCCGCTCCCTCCTTTTGCCTCCCCGGCTGTTTTATTTTGTATAGTGTTTCAGGTACGCGTGCATGTGCCGGGCACTCCAACCGGGCGGGCCGCTGTTATTCAGCGAGCCTCCAGCGCCCGCCGGCTGGAGCCGAAGATTTTACACTTTACTTCAGGAATGGCTTCGCGCCCAGGCCGCCATACGTGCGTGGCTTTTGTGGTCCGTCGGATATTTTCCGGCGTGCATATTCGCAGGCCCGATGTTGGCTCTTTCCTCTTCTGCGTTTCGGGTGGCCCTGTAGGGTAATCCACAGGTGTCGCCGCTGCACTTCTTTTCTCCTCCGCCTCTCTCCCCCTCTCCTCCTCTCCTTCCCTCCCTCCTTGCCGCTGCCGCCGCTGCCGCCTCTCCCCCTTATGATAGCGTGTTGGTGCGTTTGATTCGCTCCACCGGAGCTGCGCTCGCGGGGGATTCCCGAGCGCTGGGGCATGACCAGTCTACGGCCCGTTTTGACAGATACGTTTTAAGTGGGAATTCGTATCGGGAGGCCCGTGTCGGCCAGCGCAGTCGCCAGACCGCAGGTCTCGAAAAACCCGGTCTTAAGTAACATTTCCGTCCTGGCCCCCGGGCAATAATTATCTCGGGTGCTCTTTGGCTGTCCCTGCCACGTGCCTGATAGCGTCTCCGTATTATTTGGTGGTCGGCTGCCCACGCAGCCCGGCTTCCCTCCATGTCCGGGGGCAGTGGCCATGCGAAGTTGTCGAGGCATCCAGCCGCCGTGGTCGACGTGAGGAGAAAAAAAAACGAAAAAAAAAAAAACAACAAAAAAAAAAAAAAAAAAAAAAAAAAAAAAAAAAAAAACGCTGGTCAACTCGTGCGGCCACTACGCTCCGCTCGACCGCCCTGGAGTTTGTCCCGACACCGGTGGTGCGTGCTCAAGCCCGTTCGTTCGGCCAGCAGCGCGGCGTCTTCCAGCTGCGTGAGGTGGCACCGTGTATGCCGCAGGAGCTCGCACACTCTTCAGCTAAACGCCGATGCCGACGAGTTTGTGCCCGAGGCGGTCACTGTGGCCGACAGATGCGAGGCGGACACCTACAAGAGTGTGCACTCGTCGCCTCTGGTTCTGCAACCTGTGTTTCCGAGCCTGGGTGCTGGGCTGGAATATGGTTGCACGCTCT